ATGTATTAATAATGTTTTAATTAAAGATTCTGAACTTTAATTAAATTCATTATGAACATTGTTTTTTGATTATTATCCTTAAACATTATCCTCTCGTATATAATACTTATATACAATGTTTAAGGTCACATAAATAATCATGAAATTTTTATTGATATTCATAAAATATTCATAAATATATGCACATAGAATAATGAATAAACTCTTTTATTAAATAAATAATAAATATCCTATTACATCTTATGTTTCTAGGACATCATTCCCAACAATTCATTATTCTTTTTTGCTGAACTTTTTTATATTTGTGAGTTTGTAACTTCATTTCATTTCTTTAAATTATTTGTTAGATGTTTAATTAACTTTCTTTCTATGTTATAGATGTTAATTTTTGCTTCATTTTTTAAAATTGTTGTATTTAAATTTTGTCAAAAAGATCTAACAAAAAGGTTGAATAGGAAAATAAAAATAAATAAATGCACAAAAAGCTCTAGTAAAAAATCCGATTGGTCCAATTTAATCCAAACCAACCTTAATCGAATCGGATTAGATTGGATGATACATTAGTAATTAGATTGGATGTAAATTTTAAAAACGGATCTTTGATTGGATTGGTTGTTATATGACCAAAATAGGTTGAATTAGATTGGATGAACACCCTTAGGCCCCGTTCACTTCGCCGATTCGAGTTTAGAATTCGAGTTTTGTTACAGTAAAAAGCTCTCAGAAACAGTCACATCTAACTTTTTTGCTACAGTAAAAAGCTCTCACATAACATCACATCTTAACAAGAATTAAAAACTCGAATCAGGGAACTAAACGGGCCCTTAGTTTATTTATTTCTAATATTTAAAATAAAATTATTTAGGTTTATTTTATCTTTATAGATTTATGATTTCTTATGTTTACTAATCCTTTATATACCACTGGATACCGACATAATGTGGCTAAGGAACCCCTTTGAAATGCTAAGCAAAAATGAAACAGAGGATTTACAAATAAATACGGATAGATACCTTGGGAATCCATGGAATTCAAAGCACATGAAAGACAATTCCACGGGCCTAAAAGAGCAGGACGTCTTATTCGGCCTACTGCAAGGTGGTATAATTGCGCAATTGGGCCTTAAGGTAAGATTCTTGGACACCAAATTCTTGAGAGAAAGAGGAAAATAAGCTAAGACTTGAAATGAATTAAAATTAATAGGTCAATAATTTATATAAGTTAATAAATATGCCAAATTACTATTTTTGTCCATAACTTGTCTGGTTATGAATCATAACTTGACAAGTTATTCACAGTTTTTGTCCATAACTTGTCCGGCTATGAACCATAACTTGACAAGTTTGTCCATAATTTATCTGGTTATGAATCATAACTTGACAAGTTATGACCTATTAATTTCTATAACTAAAAGTTTACCTATATACTTTTTTAAGCTTTTCATATTGACATATTTTCTACTATTTCCGCAAATTCTTTAGTGGGTTTTGCTAGGACAGCAAGGACTTCAGTGAAGTTACCACTGTGCATGCAAATTGTTGCGAAGGATTGGAAAAACTTTCACCATATTCAACTTCAACAAAAGGGGGTGAAGCCCTCAACGAGAGGGTTGTTCTTTTTACGACTCAAGTTAAAAATTTGAGTTGTGTATGTGAGAATATTATAGTAAAAAATTTAATTTAAAATTTTTATAAGATAAAACACTATAGCAATACAACTTGAATTGTGAAAAGAACAACCCTATTTTTAAGTGGATAAGGCATTGGGGATGTTTGAATTCATGGGGAAGAAAATAATTAGAATTACATATTCATGTGCAGAAAGAAACATTTTGAGGGAAAATTTGGTTATACTTAGTGATAATAGTGTATGTTATTTGCTATCAATTAGTACGAGTCTTGCACAATAAATGTAGGACTCAACATTTTGAGCTCTAATTCAATACCATTAAATACTAATTAGTATCTTTCGTTTTTTGCTATAGCTAACGTTAAAAATATTTAAATCACAGGGAATACACTTGGGAATATTGATGCTCTAGTTAAGGCATCTCTTTTTTTTTTTTTTTTTTTTTTGGTTATGTAATTTGACATTTGTTTGCAATTAAAATGACACAATTTTTACGGGAAAATTTTGTAAAATCGCTTTTTGCGTTTTAGTACCTTCTTGTCTTTTGTCCAAATCTTGTGGGCTTTCTTGTTGACTCTATTAAGGGAGATATTTAGGCAAACATGACAAGGATTTTATAGGTGGATTGACTTGTGCCACAGGGCCTAAAACTATTACAAAAAATATCAGAGCAACCACCTTATCAGGGCCTAATACTTATTATTTTAATTATTCTTATCACGTAATAATTTTGATCGAAGATATTGTCACTTAAATATTTTTTCGCAACTCTGAAATATGTTTGTTTTCCCCCTTTTATTTCATTTTTTTGCCTTTCTCTTTGTTTTCATTTTATTTCAAAAGAAAATAAGATAATTCATTAACAGTAGGAAAATACCAAATGGAGAGCCAAAACAAAAGATTAATAAATGTCCAAAATGGAAATCCAATAATCTACAGGAACTGCAGCATCTCACTGCATTTAATTTGACCCAAGTGCCGAAGAAAAAACAAAAAAGAAAAAAAGATAACCCCAGAATGAATTTTTGCGTGCTCCCAAGTCCCAAATCGTCTCAGCAGATTGTGCATCGATGATGACGATTACAAAATCGTTCAGGCCCCGCCAACTTTATAATCTGTTCAGTTCGTTAATTTGAGTTGAAATGTGATATTATGTGAGAGTTTTTTACTGTAACAAAAAAATTAGATGTGACTATTTCTAAAAATTTTTTATTGTAATAAAACTCGAATCAGCAAAAAGAACTACTCTCCGTATGAAAATTTCCAAGTGAATCATTAGCTTTTCGTATTTAGTTTTACCTTTGCTAGTGACACAATGGGCATCAACCATGCTCTCAGTGCTTGATTCACAATGCGACTAATCTCAAAAGCCTTTGCCCATTTTTCTTCTAAGTATTGTGATTGCAAGAAGTAATTTTCAACAAATCTAAGAAAGTGGAAGGTACATCATCTGCTGTCATTGAAAAATCCGAGATAAGGATATTTTGGTTGATCATGGTATATCGTCTGTTGTCTCTAAAAATACAACGACTTATTAGTAACAATGGCACACAATAATGCTAGCCTAATAAACTGAAAACCAGCCTGAACTCTAAGGTCCCGAGGTTAAGAAGAAATAATGACTTTGTATCTTTTTCATGTGGGACAGTTTTTCCCAATTTTATGGGAGTTTTTCTTTGAATTTAAGGTCATTTGAGTACTTTGAAAGTCAATTTCTCATTCACTCGTTCACCATTTGAGCTTTATGAATATGCTATTTTGATCTCATTGCAATGGAGAATATAACAAACCAACAAAGAGTAAACGAACAAAACAAACCAACAAAGAGTAAACCAGCAACACACTTTAAAATAACTGAACTTAAAAGAGACATCACAAACCAAACTTGAGAACACTAAAGAGTAGGGATAGGCTCGTTCGACATCACACATCACACATCAAACGATGATGAATCGCTCAAGCTGACATGTATATGTTGGAGACTCTGTCTTTGGTCTTGTCCAAGCCTAAGGCTTAAACAATATAGCGCTTCTCTTCTTCATAAAAGACGTGGAAGCCTAAGATTTCCTTCAACTTTTCTACAGACGGCACTTTTCCAGGACCAGGGACACCGCCACCTTTAATGGCAGCAAGCGCATCCTGCATTCATATTTTCTCCTCAATTAATATATATAGTTCTGGTTGATTTCCTTCTTTCTGTTGCTGTTTTTTTTTTTTCTTTTTCTTTTTCTTTTTACCCTGAGAGAATCCACAGTACTTTCTCCGAAAGAGGTCATAAATAAGAATAGAAATTAAAAGAAAAATGTTTAGATGTGTAACCTGTATGGCTAGAATAGATGCTCCGAGCACGGAAAACGGGTAGGCCACGAGTTTATATCCAAAACTGGCCATTTCTTCAGGATCGGGAAATGGTTTCCCCCCATCTTCACCCATATTGGCGACCTATATACACACACACACATATAATAATCAAGGAGCTCCATTAATTAATTAATCACTACAAATCAAACCCTTTTTTTTATATAGATGTATATACTAGAACAATCAAAATTAAGAGTACGTATAGGAGTAGTATTATAAAAAGGGCATGCAGTCAAGAAAAATTAAAACATTTCTATATGTACATATAATTATATGGTATATAGATAGAAAAAAAAAAAGTACCAGTTTTGGAACATGGGGAACGGCATTACAGAAAGCCTTCATCTCGTCTTTTGAAAATAGATTGTCAAGAAAAACGACGTCTGCTCCGGCATCAGCAAAAGCTTTCATCCTCCAGAGTGCTTCCTCAAAAGACACCGCCAGACGAGCATCAGTGCGTCCCACAATCACAATGTCGGTGCCACTCTCGCTCCGTGCGTCTATGGCGGCTTTTATCCGCATCACTGCCTCCTCTTTTGACACCACTTTCCTCTGTTGTCCTTCACCAGCTGCTTTTACAGATACCTTCACAAGTAGTACATATATATCTTCAGTATTTCTCATAAATTAAGATTGGCATGAAGATTTTAACATTCTGGTTCAATCTATTGTTTGTTTTTAAAAAGTAAAAAATGATTCTTAAAAACTCGTATTATGTTTGTGCTATTTTAAACTAAAATCAGCTCAAAAAATAAAATCCCCTTAGTGTTAGATAGTTCAAATTCTTGATTCTGATTCAGATTTCAGATTTGGACCCTGAATTATGGTTCTGAGTTTAAAACTAAAATCACTCAGATTCTAGAACTAAAACCACCAGATTATAGCTTAAAGTATATTATATATATGATCTCCACCATGACCACGTGAATATATGAGAAGACAGTTAACTAGAACCTGATCATCAATCATAACCCCACCAAATCCAGCTTTGATAAATCCCCTGACGCTTCTTTTAAGCATCATCGCGTTCCCGAATCCATCATCAGCATCTCCAATTACAGGAATCGAAACAGCTTCAGTGACTTGTCGTCCCTGATCCACCGTTTCTCCATACGAGACAATATCTGTGTCTGGCAATCCATATCTAGCAGCTGCTATATGAAACCCTGAAACAAGTAGTACAAGCTTAGCTAGCACCAGATATTTTTATTTTTCATTGCAACATTTCTTCAATACTTATGCATGCTTGCTTGATTGATAGACATAGACAGTACTGAAATTATTCACATACCACCAGTAAAGCAGTAGGGAAACCCAGCTTTCTCTACCAACATAGCACTAAGACCATCATAAACAACTGGGCCTTGGTGAATCCCCGGCGCCTCCAGAACCCGCCGGAGCACCTTCGCCGGAGACTCGCGTTTCACTATGGGCTGAACACTCATTCTCACTCACTGAGTCGCTCTCTGTTTCACTCTTGAATCGATCGTTGACCGTGGCATGTACACAACTTCTGTGTGTGTGTGTGTGTGTGTGTGTGTGTGTATATATATATATATATATATATATAGTTGTTGCAGGGTGGAGGTGAGCTGTTTGCCATTTCTGTTACAAGAAAACAGTGTCTTCTTGTACAACGTGTAAAACGTGGGTCACGCTCTCGCGCTTTGCACGTATTGAGATGGAGTTAAGTGGTCATATATTAACTTGAATCATAAATTTAAATCGGAGACGTCTAGTTTATGAATTTAAATCATAAGATTAGAATTATTTTTAATTTATGTGTATTTTTTATAAGAAAAAATATTGTAGTAAATTATGAATCATGATTCGAATCAGGGTACGAATCCCCTAACTAAACAACCTCTAAGATTTGTTTAGTTCACTAATTTAAATTTTTAATTCGAGTTAAGATGTGATTTTATGTGAAAATTTTTTATTATAGTAAAAAAATTAGATATAACTGTTATTGAAAAATTGTTATTATAACAAAACTCAAATTAGTAAAATAAACGAAACTTTAGTGAAGTAAACGGTTCCTTATTTTAATATGCAGAAGAGACGTTTGGTAAGAAGATTCATACCATGATTTGAATTATGATTCATGATTCGTTACAGTATTTTCTCTCATAAAAAATACACATAAATCAAAAATTATTCTAATCTCATAATTCTAATCTATGAACTAAATGTGGGGTTTCTATTTGTCCTACCAAAATTCATTGATGCCCCCTTATAATATATTAATTCCTAAAGATACCCCTTCATTTTTGTTAGATATTCTCTTTTTCTTCTTCTTTGCTAATGGACATTTTGTCATTTTCTTGATTCGATATCATTGATATAAGATAAATAATTTAGATGCCCAGAGTATGATAAGAGAAGAAAAAGAAGAAATAACAAGTGGGTGTGTGAGAATAATATTAAAGAATATTTCTCTAAACAATTAACAATCATGATTCATGGATACTTTAGGATATTATTATAATAATGAGATCATCAATAATAAAATTTTGTTTATTTTGTTGATTCAAATTTAGAATTTGATTTTTTTTATAGTAAAAAATTCTCATAAATAATTATATCTAATTTTTTTACTATAGTAAAAAATTTTCACATAAAATCACATCTCAACTTAAATTAAAAATTTAAATCAACGAACTAAACGGGTCCTAAATAAAGTTTACATCTTTTTGCGCGGTGGCAGACAAAAATAATGTGACGCATGCTTTAATGGACTTTTTCTGTTATCCAGACAGACAGACAATCCTCTCATTATTTATTTGCTTCCGATTGACTCTCAAAAGAAGGAAGGAAAAAAATAGGAAATTTCCCCGTCATTTTTTTTAAATATTAGTATTTTTTAATTTAATTTAACTGTGATCATATCAATGCTCTTTCTTTATTTATCATTGAATTTATTTTATTTTTTAATTTAATTAAATTTTGATCAACTTTAGGTCCTGTTTACTTCGCTGATTCGAGTTTAGAATTTGAGTTTTTTTACAGTAAAAAGTTCTCACAAATAATTACATCTAACTTTTTTGTTACAGTAAAAAACTCTCACATAAAATCACATCTCAACTCGAATTCTAAACTCGAATCAGTGAAATGAACGGGGTCTTAATATAAATATAACGCTTAATAAACTGAAAACAAATACAAGTGTTCTAAAAAAAATAATAAAAGTTTTATGCATTGTTCATTTTATCGATTTAAATTTTTAATTTTATATTTTTATAATAAAAAAAATTTAAAAAAATATCACATCTAACTTATTTTATTACAATAAAAAATTTTTAAAAAATATTATAATCTGAATTGAAAATTTGAATACGTGAAATCTTATTAATGGCACGTTATCCTCGACATTTGAGTCAATTCAGCTACAGTAAAGAGTGTCTTCCATGGATGAGCTGTTCGCCATTTGATTACGCAGAGTACTTGGAATGATGACGCTTGGAATGATGATGCTTTTCTATAAATAACCATAAAGATTGGAGTGTCCTCCATGACGGGTACATGATATGATGAGACTGGTGCAGTACTCATTGCAAGTTCTCCACCAAACAATCAACTTAAGACACGTGATTTTATGCAAACTTTAAATATGTCATTTTGAATTTTAAATTTTAAATTTTAAATTTTTACAGTAAAAAATTATTAAAAAATATCATATTTAATTTTTTTTATTATAATAAAATTTTTTTAAAAAATATCACATTTTAACTTAAATTAAAAATTTAAATTCGTAAAGTGAGTGAGGAAAAATAAATTTAAGATCCGCGTAATTCGTTAATTTAAAATTTTAATTTAAATTAAGGAGAAGTTTGGTTCATAGATTACAATTATTTTTAATTTACGTGTATTTTTTATGAAAAAAATACTGTAACGAATCATGAATCATATAATTCAAATCATGATATGAATTATTTTACCAAACGTCTAAGTGTTCTAAAAAAAATAATAAAAGTTTTATGCATTGTTCATTTTATCGATTTAAATTTTTAATTTTATATTTTTATAATAAAAAAATTTTAAAAAAATATCACATCTAACTTATTTTATTACAATAAAAAATTTTTAAAAAATATTACAATCTCAAATTGAATTGAAAATTTGAATACGTGAAATCTTATTAATGGCACGTTATCCTCGACATTTGAGTCAATTCAGCTACAGTAAAGAGTGTCTTCCATGGATGAGCTGTTCGCCATTTGATTACGCAGAGTACTTGGAATGATGACGCTTGGAATGATGATGCTTTTCTATAAATAACCATAAAGATTGGAGTGTCCTCCATGACGGGTACATGATATGATGAGACTGGTGCAGTACTCATTGCAAGTTCTCCACCAAACAATCAACTTAAGACACGTGATTTTATGCAAACTTTAAATATGTCATTTTGAATTTTAAATTTTAAATTTTAAATTTTTACAGTAAAAAATTATTAAAAAATATCATATTTAATTTTTTTTATTATAATAAAATTTTTTTAAAAAATATCACATTTTAACTTAAATTAAAAATTTAAATTCGTAAAGTGAGTGAGGAAAAATAAATTTAAGATCCGCGTAATTCGTTAATTTAAAATTTTAATTTAAATTAAGGAGAAGTTTGGTTCATAGATTACAATTATTTTTAATTTACGTGTATTTTTTATGAAAAAAATATTGTAACGAATCATGAATCATATAATTCAAATCATGATATGAATTATTTTACCAAACGTCTCGTAAGATGTAATTTTATATTATAATTTTTTATATTATTAAAAAAATAAATATAATTAATTTTAAAATTTTTTTACTATAATAAAACTCAAATTTAAAATTTAAATTAATAAAATAAATAGACTTTATACAACCTAAACTCTACACAAAAATTTACTTTGACGCATGCTTTATATCTTTATTTGACTTTTTCTACTTTAAAAGCAACTTTTCGTTTGTCTTTGCGAGCTTTGTAAAATTAAAACTTTTTTATTTTATCAATTCGAGTTTAAAATTTAAGTTTTATTATAATAAAATACTTTTAAAAACAGTCACATTTAATTATTTTGTTACAGTAAAAAGTTTTCATATAAAATCACATATCAACTCAAATTAAAAATTTAAATCAGTAAACTAAACAGGCCCCTAGTCTTTCCTCTTTTTCTCTATAACAAAATGTGTTTGCATCTATCCAAAGACGAGTTCGTTTGGTACGAAGATTCAAATCAGGGTAATTTTAATCATGATTCTAGAATTAGAACCATAATTCATGATTTTGAGTTCAAATCATGATTCTGAATTCATGATTCAGAATTAGGGATTTAAATCACCTTGAATCAAGAGGGGAGGTGGTTTTAGAATGATGAATTGAGCTAGATTATGAATCATGATTCAGAATCATTCAAACCAAACATTGATTCTGAATCATAATTTAGAATCACTGTAAACAAACATTAATTCTGAACCAAGATCTAAAATCATGATTCTGGATCCATCTACCAAACACACCCTTATTATCTATTTGCTTCGGATTCCTTTTTTTTTTTTTTTTTTTTAACGTTATCCTCCACATGTGTGGAATAGAAGTGACTTGGGTGTTGGGTGTGGGGCTCCATCTTTAATCACCAAAATGCCAATACCAAAGTTGTTTTAAACTTTAAAGTTAAGATATAAATTGATAAGACTTTTAGTAAAACATAAAATTAAATAAACAAGCCAATTAACCCAACCCAATCCGAGGTCGAAAACTTTAAACTCTATTGGGTTGGAGAAAATCATTTCTATTGAGTTAGAATTTTCACAAGCGGAACATATTGAGTTGAATTGAAAAATAGTGAAACCCAACCCGACTGACCCGATTGATGTACATTTTAAATTTTAAAGTATAAATTCAGTTTGAAAGTCTTTCCCCTCAACCCATTGCCTCATTAAAAAAAATACAATATTTGTATTCATTTATTTCGTTTTTGGTGATATCCTTGCTTTTTTTTTTGAATGGATACTTCCCTTGCTTTTATTGCTTTTCCTTGCAAATTTGAGTCTAAATTGAACTTTTATAAATTAATAAAGAAGTTATCATTTATTTCTTATACATTTTTGTATAATCAATCGTATTTATCTAATACATTGAGATTTAACTTTTTTAATTTTAAAGAGCATCCTTTTTTTTCTTTTTTGTTTTGCTTATTTTGAAGTTTATTTTCAATTATATGTATGTTTTTTTATTACTTTTCTCTCTTAAATTGAATCTTTTTATATTATTAAGGAATTATTATTTAACTTTTTTTCCATTTGTAATTGTGAAGAGCGTTAAAAAAATAAGAAAACAATTCTTAAGTATCATCACTACATAAAAAAACATTGGCTTTCAGGCATGTAACGATGATGGCAAGCCCTTTATTAGTTTTTCTAAAATGGGCTTGGATCGCCCGTGACTACCTAGGAAATACCAGCCGTCGCATTTGGCGACATGCAAAAGTTTATATACGAAAAGGAACTCGTCCAACGGTAAATCCACATCGAACCTTTGGTCCTAGAGAATCCACATGTCGGCGAAGCAATACCAAAAGTTATGGGCCAGTTGTGTGGGGGAGATGCCGTGGAGCTCGCAAAGGTCCTTCACGAACGGGTGAATGGGAAGTGTCATTTGTTGGTCTTCGAATCGAATTCGGATGCGGAAGCGTGGCGGTAGGCGGATCGTGTATAATAAAAATTTTCATAAAACCTTTGAGATACTCTATAGATTATATTAATTTATGCACGAATAAATTAATCTCATTAATTCATTTATTAAGAACTCAATTAGAAAAAATACCCGGTGGCCGATTAGGATGATAACTTGAGTTCTTTGACCTCGAACAATCCTTGCTCCAAAGCTTTGTGTTTAGAAAACCAATGTCTTCTACGTCAATTCCTAGAATCCACAAAGACGTATGTGTGGGCACACATGAGACAAAACGGGTTACAATAAACACTCGAATTTTCACAAACACCAACCCATGCACGATGTGAAATTTTTGAAGAAAAATTTTACTATTATTGTTTATTTAAGCAAGTGCACCACGTTTTGCTATCATATTTGTTCTTCAAGTTTGTGCTATAGTTGTACTAGAAAGGTGGACCTCACAAACATAAATGGAAATTGTTGTCATCCATTATGTCATTCTTCTCACATTGGAAACCGATAGCTTCAATCATCATGAAATAGTCTTGTGTGGAAGTTTCTTATTCTTAGACCATTTGAACTTATGTTTGATATGTGGATTCTTCATGGATTTAAACTCATAGTTTTGATTTTATTACAATGTTTTTTTATGAATTTAAGCTCATGGTTTTTTATTCTGATACAATATTTTTCTCTCATAAAAAATTTAAATTTCAAAAGTCATAATTAAAATCACTGTTTTGGACCCTGGTTCGAACCTATATATCAAACGGGCTCTTATCATATGTTTGGTATGTGGATTCTTCATATGTTCAAACTACGAATTTCTTATTGTCGACAATAATAAATAAGATCTATCACGAAAAAAAAAGAGAAAAAGAAAAGGGAAAACAAGACTGCTAACTACGAATAAATCATCAAACATTATTGTCCAGTGTAGATTCTTATTGTCCTATAAGGACTACAAGTGAAAAACAAGTACCTCTATTTCACAACTCAAGTTATAACTTAAGTTATGGCTTAAGTTGTGTATGTGAGAGAAAAACACTGTAACAAAAAAAAGTTATGTTTAAATTTTTATTAGAAAAAACACTCTAACAATAAAACTTGAGTTGTAAAATGAACAAGGCCTCAAAAATATGCTGAGGGATGTTGGAAACGAGTTTCGATGCCAAAATATTCTTTTGAGTTAAACTCGTGGATTTTTTAATCCTGTGCAAGAGAATGTTGTCTCCTCCGCATTATGCTGGTTTTGAGCCTCTCATCACTTGGCTCTCGTCACCTCTCTCGCGTACAAAAGAGAAGTATCTCAAAAACTAGAAGACAAACGGGGAGGATACACAACGAAATAGGTCAAAATCATCAGTTCAAACTAATCAAAGGGCGAGATCTGTCTTCATCAAAGCTCAAACTAATCAGTTCAAGTCTCAGAAATGACGAAACAAAAGCATATGCACATGGAGCAAAGTAGATTTTTACATTTGTTTTGCAAAAAACACAAGAACAATATAGTAAACACTTTTTATTTTTTTTATTTCTCTTTATGTCTTTCACAAGAAAAAAAATGTGCCTGTGGATTATGCCTCCGAAGTAAATCTCCCTCAACAAGTTACACATTCCAGTTAAGCTATACATACAATTATAGTGTCTTGCTACCAAAAAAAAAAAAAAAAAAATTGAGAACATTGTCTCATTCAGCAGCCAATTTCTACACTCAGATCCTAGCCAGAACACCAAAAATTTTGCTTGCCTATTTTCTTAAGGTAAGCAGCTCAGTAAGCTGTTGTTTTCGCTCATTCGACGATGAGCACATAGCGTACAGGGAATACTTTGGGGGCAAGGCTTGGAGTGGTAGTCTATGCACTAAGCTGTATCCTCAAGGAACCTCTAAGAGCATCCGTTCATCGATGAGCAGCAAATTACAAAGCACGGGAAGGAATACCAAGACTTCATCACAGTTTCATTGCTTTTCATCAAACTGTTTCAGGTACTGACCGTTTTCTTTATTGCTCTCAATATACTCATGAGTCATGACAATGATCTATTCATTGATCTCCAATGTTTACATGTGTCATGAATCATATTGCAAGATCAATATTTTCCTAGGACCTGAGAGCAGCTGTCAATAGTTGGAATATGATTATAAATGAAACGGCTTCAACGTGAAAATAACGATGATAAATCTCAGTTATCAAGTGACGAAGCTGATAACCTCATTGCGATTCCGAACAAGTAAGAGGTATCAATCTTTTGACATCAGCTCCCAGACTTTGAAGCTTTGCATCTATATTTTCGTAACCCCGGTCAATGTGAGAAACACCACTGATCTCAGTGTTACCCGTTGCAGCCAATCCTGCTAATACCAATGACATCCCACCTCTCAAGTCTTTTGCAATGGGGGAAGAACCAGACAACAAGCTGGAAAATGACGATCACAAGGAGTTAGTCCATCAGATCCGATATCAAATCAAAGGAAGCTAGAATAACCATAGTTCAAAAGTTTCTCACACACCTTCCTTTATCCTTCCCAAGAACCAAAGCAGTGCTCCCACAAACCTGAATTCTTGCTCCAAGCTTGAGAAGTTCATTTGCTAGTAGAAATCAGCAAGACTTGGGTGTAAGAAATAGCACATAGCAGAGTGACCGGTATATGTTTAGAAGTACTATCAGCCATTTCAATATGAAAAACATTTGTACGAGGAAAAAAATATTTTCAGAGAAGGGGGCAAAAAGAATTCTCTCTCTTTGAATGAAATGAGTACTGTTAAAAAGAGGAAATAGAGGAATGCTACAACGGCGAAATCACTGCATGGCGATAAAGAAACAAACAAGAACACTCGAGCACGCCTTTAAAACTCCTCTTTTAGAACTTGTTCCAAGCAAGGAAAAATATGAAACTAGATGGTAAAGGACATTGCTCAATGCCGCACCATAAAATATGACTTATTGACAACATACCATGACCCATCCGCTTGTTAAAAACAGATTCCTCAACAATACTGGAACCATTACAGGTGGTGAGCAGAGCCATTGTTTGAGGTTGGAGATCTGTAGGAAAAGCAGGAAATGGCCCTGTCTTTACATTGAAACCATTCAAGTTTGCACCATCAGTGGAGACCGCCAAAATCTGAAGCACCAATACGTCAGCTATTGGAAGAGAAATTAATGGGATAAAAAAACGTTAAAAGTAAAAAAAAAGAACATTGAAAAGAAGGAATTACAATGACAACGTACTTCCAATGTGTCGTGAGACCGTTGTCTGATTTTGCAACCAGCAGCGCGGAGTTTTTCCGTCAAACACGAGACGTGAGAAGGAATGACCGGTGACATAGAGATGCACGAGCGAGTGATAGCAGCAGCTAGCATAAATGTGCCCGTTTCAATACGATCAGGATCAATTTTACATTCAGAGCCATGCAGCCAAGACTTTCCCTTAATAACAATCTTGTTACTTCCTGCTCCCTCTATACAGGCCCCACTTTCTATCAGAAAACGAGCAAGAGCAACCACCTCAGGTTCCTATGTTGGAAGTTGAGGCAAGAATTAGTTTAAAAAATAAACAAAATAAATAAAAGATTGGAATACTATTCTTAATTCCCTTCAATCACTTTTAACAATCAGAAACTGAAAAAACAGCGAGATCATGATGTTATACTTTTGCAACATTTGAAAGTAGAGTCACTCCATCGGCTAGACACGCGGCCATCATAAGAGTTTCGGTTGCTCCAACACTGGGATAATCAAGTTGGAACGTGCCCCCTACCAGTCCTCTCCCATTTGCAGCATATGCTTGAACTTTCCCATCCCTGTAATTTTTTCATAAGACTCAAACAATCAATTCCTTGGGCTACCATTTTTTTTTCTTTACGACCATTTTTTTCCCCCCCTTTACGACAATAACTGGCCACCCCACCCAATCCTTCTAAACCTCAAGATCTTGTCACAAAACAATGAGCACTTCTTCACAAGAAAAGGAAATAAAATGAAATGTATCATGGGGGAAGGTACTGGCTTAAGGAAGTAAAATCCCATAGAAAGAAGATACTAGTAGACAAAAGAATTATATCCATATGTTCAAAAGAAATTACAATGGCTTTCAAGCAAAACAAAGAAAAAAAACAATGGCCAAAAGAGTCTAGAACAGCACGTCCAAAGCATTAATCAACGAAATATCAGCAAAACAAGAAGACTAAAATCTCTCACCTCAATTCCACAACAGCACCGAGAGCCCTGAGTCCTTGAACATACAAATCAACCGGACGAGCCCCAATGTCGCAGCCACGGCAAGGCGACCGCGGCGGCGCCGAACCGGGCCAGCAACGGCCCAATGACGAAGAACCCACCTCGCATTTCCGGATCTCGTCCGGACAAGGCTCCACCGACCGTACACCATCGGCATTAACCAATATTTCATCGCCCAAAACTTGAACTTCAGCGCCGAGAGAGGCCAAAACGGAAGCCATGGCGCGAGTGTCCGACAAGCAGGGCACGTTGGCGAGCTTCGAAGTTCCGGAGCAGAAAAGGGTCGCGGCGAGAATCGGTAGCGAGGAGTTCTTGGAGCCGCTTATGGCGACGTGGCCGGAGAGCTTTGAAGGACCGGTGATGACGAGCTTGGAGGAGTGGTTTTGGTTATGGAGATGAAGAGGAGGAGATGGTGGGTTTTGGAGAGATGGGTTGAGGGGTTTTGGTGGGTCTTGGGATTTTGGAACGTTGAAGGAGCAGAAGGAGGTAGCCATTGAATGGAAAGGAAGGAAGAAAAGGCTTTGTTGCCGACAAGTTCCTTCTTTTTCTTTTATTTTATTCTATTTTTATTTTTTTTGAAAATCCAAGTTCTTTCTTTTTCTGTTTTTCTTTATTCTGTTTGTGGGATTTTTTTTTTCTTTCGACAGTGCAAATTTGTTTGTGCGCGTGTACTCTGTGCACCATGCACATGCAAACATGGACGAACATGCCTCCCATATTTCTAAAATTTCCATCAAAATCTCCGTAAATCTAAAGTGTCGAAATATTTTTTCTTATAAAAGAATTTCTCCTATATTTATCAAAATTTACTAAAAATTTTGAGAGAAACCTTTTTTTATATTCAAAAGATATATTGGAATCTTAAAAATTCTAAAATTTCGATGGAAACTTCAAAATATCATAGAAATATCACAAGTTCTCGAGAAAATTTCAGTAAATACCGATAAAAATATCAATGTTACAAACTTGACATTCTCATACAAATAAACCATGGTTTTATTCACGCTCCTCTTTTATTTATAATTTCTTATATAAAAAAACATATAAAATGACAAAAAAGACAATTATAATAGACTTAATTACATAAGTAAACTTTATTATAAAAATATTGATTTTTTTTTCCTCTTCACACACCCCACATGCCATATTCTCAAATTACAAACAATTACTATTTTAAAATTTATGATCAAATTTTAATTTTTACCATTTAATAGTTATTCTAAAAAATTACATAGAGGTATGTTAAATTTTCTTGCCTGTTTGTTCTATGGCGATTGATGTTTTGCCTTTTTTGTATTAATAATTTTTTTATTTTTCTAATTATTTCATTTTTCAAAAGGGAAATTATTATTTTTACGTTTCTTATAAAGTAGAATTGATTTTTTTTTTCATTTTGTTCTTTTTTATGCTTATTACGCTCATTTATTTATTTTTCTTTTATTCATTTTGGATTTTTTATGATACCTTAATAATATAATAATTTTGTTGCCGTCTTTTTTTATTTATTTTTTATTTCTTGAATTATATTGCTTTCTATTTTATATTTTTGAGTGTTCTTTATGTTTTTTTTTAAAATATTTTAATAAAGTTTCTTCTTGTATAAAAAAAAAATGCGTCATGCATAAAGCTTCAACTAAAAAAATAGAGAAATATAGAAATAATAATATTAAAATAAAATAATTGGTGTTAAAAGAAAAATAAAATGATCAAGAATTAATAATCTTATGAAAATAGTTTGGAGTAATTCTGGAATAATAAAAGTGTGTAGAAAGTAATTTTAACTATTTTAAAATTATGTGAGATGTGTATTTAGAAAGGGGATCTAGAAAATAAAAAAGAGTGTGAGTAGAACCATCTTTATGATTTCCTAATTATTGTGTGAGGTAATTATATAATTGGTATTTGTATTCAATACATACTTTTTGTGTGTATTATATTTCGGCTAATCAAGCCGTAATCCAAGTGTAGAGTGCTTATTAAGGCTTGTTTGTTTCACTTTTGAATCATAACTCAAACTTTTTGTTAGTGATTATAGTGTTTTCGTTCATAAAAATTCAAATTCAACTTTTTATGTTATAGTATTTTTTCTCATATAAATTCACCTTTCAATTTAAGGTCCCAACTCAAACGAGCGAAACGAATGAAGCCTAATTATTAAAAAAATGAAATTGCCAAGATTAGAATTTTGATGGGCACGTGCACACTCGCACGTACTATTTTGACTATCTCGTCCAACCACTTAAGCTAACCTCAAGTGACCAAAGTGGGAAATTATTTGCGTCTTTTTTTTATTTCTTTTTTCCTACCATATTGGTCAGCACATTTTTTAAAGCCAAAAGAAAAAATTATTTGACGTGTCAGTTAAGTATGGAGATGAAGGGTTTGGTCGACTATCATTTTCTCAAAGATTTCATCAAAGATATTATTTTGGTATTTAAAAGGCAATGCGGATCTCTAACATATTAGATTTATTGGTGCGGGGATATTGCAAAGAAAAAGGTACCGACAGAAACATTTCATTTTCACTTCCTTCTTTTGGAAATAAGGGATTGTGCATTGTCTATCTACAATCTACAATGCTACAAAATAAGATGATCTCAAACAGTGATGGAGTCAATATTTTATTTTAATAAATATGTATTTTAAATTTTTTTAATAAATTATTTTAATAAAAATATATAAAAAAATATATTTATTTTAATGGGAGCATATATTATTTCAATATGAGTTTAAATATAAAATTTTTAAATTTTTAAAAATAATATTTTTTAAAAAAAAATTTATCACTAAACTGTACTTAAATCCGCCATCTCAAAACAACTCGTCAACTCACATACAATTTGTCAGGATGGAGCCATAAATATATATTTTTTTCTTTACATGTCCCCACTGGATTCAATGTGACTTTGTTCTTTTTTTTTTTTTTTTTTTAAATTTACGTGTCCCACTCGATTCAATGTGGCTCTGTCACTATGCTCTATCTCTATGGCTCCAGCCCTCCACCACGGATTCTTTTGTTTGTTGTTTTCCTTTCTCTAAATTTTTGTACAGAAAAAATGTGTTCGTTCACCGTATATATTTTAAAGGTCTCATTTATTTCACCGATTTAAGTTTATAATTCAAATTTTATTATAGTAAAAAGCTCTAAAAAATAATCACATCTAACCTTTTTGTTACAATAAAAAACTCTCACATAAAATCACATATCAACTCGAATTAAAAATTTAAATCAACGAACTAAACGGGCTAAAAAAAAGCCAATGTCCCATACCACCTAAACCCATACTTTTCCTTCTCCGCTTAGGCCCGAGGGCTTTGTAAAAATAACTCAATAGAAAAGTTTTATTAGTAAAATAACTTTTTAAAAATTTTTATTTGTAAAATGACCACTTTTTATAAAGAATGATTAGGTGGTCATTCTTCATAAAAAATAAAGGAGGTCATTTTACTAATTTTATTTTGTTAGATAGTCATTCTAGCATATTGCCCCTTAGGCTCGCAATATGGACCCTTTTTTATTTATTTATTTTTTTGTTTTGTTTTTTGAAATGGAATATGAATTCGTTTTAGCCTTTATATCACACCTACCAAAAATACAATAAAAGTTCCGAGAGTAATATCTTGCTACACCTATCACCAATCGCCAATCAATAAGAAAGCAAATAGATTTTCATATTTTTTATTTCATTTTTATACCTTATAACATTCAGCAAAAAAAAAAAAAAAAAAAAAAAAAAAAAAAAAAAAAAAAAAAAAAAAAAAAAAAAAAAAAAAAAAAAAAAGGGTAAAACAGATGGGGTTTTCACAAGTGACAAATGGAGGAGTGTGAAGGAAAAGAAATATGATTCGTCTACGTATGTTAAAGATTAAAGAAAAAAGAAAATACAACAAATACACATTTTATATCTATATTTAAAGCAAATAACACATTTTTAAAATGATGTTAAATTATAACATATTTGATTTTGCACTTAAAATTGGTTCTTCCGTCGCCGGATAAGAAGAGCAACCGGTGGGCACGACGGAATGACGGCCACCGATCGGGATCTCCTCTGAACATGGTTCTCCCGTCGCGTGGCGGAGTTCGATTGGGAGATATCTGTTGCATGGCCAATCTCTGCTTTTTGTTGCTCCACTCGAGTTCCATTCCTCGATCTGGATACTTCGTGAACAGATTCGGCCGCCGTCGTGATTCCTCGATCCCGATGCTTCGCGAACAGATCGGCCGCCGTCGTGAGACTCTGGTTCCGGTCTTCTTCTCTGGCGAAGCAACCGGAGTTGGTGAGATCAGTTACCGCGCTTGGAGTCCACGAACTGTCGCCTTTGAGATTGCGATCTATGGTCGCCGGACGATTTTCACAACGGACGATGGACGACAGAGGCTTCGTCTGGCGGCGGCGGCAGCTTTGGTATTGTCGGAGGCCAACAGAGGCCGTCGCTGACCAGATGCGTCGTGAACCATATACGTCGCCGGCGACATCATTTCTTCGTTTGTGCTAGTCATGCGAGAAAGAGAGGCGATTTTGAGTTCGGATTTTTCGGATTTTTGTATGTGTTGGTGAGTTTTGGATCTGAGTTTGTCATTTCATGATTTTTGTTGTTCTTTGGTTTCCGGCGAGAGTTTCAGTCTGAGTTTGCGATTTTATTTTTTGATTTTTTTGGGTAATTCTGATATGTACGGGGTAATACAACATTTACAGGTATTTATATGCTATTTACTAGCATCGGTAAAATATAACATTTTTGAGTAAATATGATATTAAATGATAAATATATTTACCATTATCGACTCCGGTGATTGAATTTTTGAGTAACTAGGATATTTATAAGTAAATATGGATATTTACTCGCCGCCATCACTGACGACTAGATTTTTTAATTTTTAAATAAATATAATATTTATAGATAAATACGATATTTATCAATAAATATGTTATTTACCAATCACTAGCGCCAGTGACTGAATTTTTAGATAACTATAGTATTTACGAATAAATATAATATTAATTGATAATTACAATATTTACCGGTGTAAATACGGATAAATATGATATTTATGAATAAATATAATATTTACTGGTATAAATACAATATTTGCCAGTTACCTGTGTCAGCCGTTGGTAACAAATTGCCAGAGCCGGCCGCCGGTGTTGGCCATGGTGGACCTAACTAGAGGAGGGAATGAAAGAGATGACTTAAGGGTAATTTTGGGATTTTAATATTGTTTGAAGCCTAAGAAATTAAGTTCCTATTTGTTTTATAGGTTCAAGTTACTGTTTAAACCTGTGTTTTTCTTATAAAATTTTAATTTTTATTTAATTTTTTCTATTTAAACCTACGAACCAAAAGGCCATAAATTATATTAAAAACTACATATTTTAAAAAGGTATGCTATAATTTACTAATCCCCTTATTAATTGTGCTATTTCACTCGTTCTCTCTACAAATAAATGTCGAAGGAATAAAGGCCCAGTGAGGCTTCAGCTCTTGTAAACTTTTTATTATTTATACTTGCACCTCATGCAAAAGTTAAGAACTTCATTTATTCTGCATACAAATGAAAAATTATCACTTTAAGTCAAAATCCAACTGATATCCCCAAGTACTTAGCACACTAGTAATATCTTGAATTTTTAAATAAAACTCTTTATTATTTTCTCTTATTTTCTTATTTTTTATTTTTACCGTGTTCGTATACCCTTTTAAAAAAGAAAGCTTATGCAATAATTCCTTGAGAAGAATTTTTAAATTAGGCACCATAAATTTTTTTTAATTAATAAGAAAATGTACGTAGCATCCCTAGTTCAGTAATCAATTATTGTGATATGCTTATAACATTTTAATTCTTTTTATTTCGTTTGTAGTTCTATTTTGTTCCTTAATTTGGAAATTATGTACTTAGTAAATTGTACCATATGTAACAAGAAAAACAAAATCAAGATTCTTAGGAAGCCATTTCTACTCAAAATGTAAGTAATGTGTTCCGTTCACTTCGCTGATTCGAGTTTGTAATTCGAGTTAAGATATGATTTTATGTGAGAGCTTTTTACTGTAGCAAAAAAGTTAAATGTGACTATTTCTGAGAATTTTTTACTGTAACAAAACTCGAATTTTAAACTCAAATTGGTAAAGTGAACGGGTGCTTGCTTCGATCTGGATCCAACTTGATTCTTCTATTATCCCCACTGGGTTATGATCGTATCTTAAAACTTTGCATAAAAATTTTATCAACGAGAATATTGAATATATCTTTTTCGATGTATAGTAACAACAATAAAAACAATAACAACAGGTATAATTAATGCCAACATCATAGATTGAATGGGTATATATTTATTGCTTTTCTTAAACCATTTTTTGTGCAAGATCCAATACTTTTCGATTCCTAGCACTATTTATTAGAACATAACACACTCGATAAAAAATGTATTTGCTAAATTTAAGATATGTACAAAAAAATATCTTTAAACATAAAATAATGTGAAGATTAGTTCCTCTCTTATCCAATCTTTACTATTTTACAAAACAAAACAAAAAAATTAATTTGTTTCCTTTTTAATTCATCCAACGTCATTCAATGAATTTTCACCTATATATTAGATAAAGTATAAAATCTCTAAATCAAAGAAAACAAAATAGAACGACAATAGAAATAAAAGGAATAAAGTGTTATAAACATATCACAATCATGTCCAATTGATTACTCTATTAGGATGTTACATTTTTCTTATCTAGAAATTTTATGATCCCTAATTTTAAAATTCTTCCCAATGGAATTATTGCATAAACATTCTTCTCTTTTTTTTTTTTTATAATAAAAAGGAGATACTTAAACTGAGAAAAAATAAAAAAAAAAAAATAAAAGAAATAATAAAGATTTACCCTATTTTAAAATTCAAGAAATTACTAGTTCACTAAGTACTTAGGATATTAATTGGATTTTTGTTTAAAGCGATAATTTTTCATTTGTTAATTTCTTTAATTTCTTTCATGTGCACGTGTCGGCCTTTCTATCTCACGTGCTCACCCACTCTTTCATTTGCTCACCTTAGTTCTTCTTTTAGGCCTACTTTCATGTTGCTCTCTTTCTTCTTAACTTTGTTTTGTTTTTTCTATTAAAAAAATTACATAAACGGTTTGTTGTACTGCATTATTTATTTAGGAGGCTTTTATTTTTCAATCCTTCATGGAATAGACGGTTTGTTATACTGCATTATTTATTCGGAGAAAGAGGAAAATAGGTCAAGACTTGATATGAATTAAAATTAATAGGCCAATAGTTTACATAAATTAATAAATATGCCAAATTACTGTTTTTATCCATAACTTGTCTGGTTATGAATCATAACTTGACAAGTTATTGTCCATAAATCACGATTTTTATTCATAATTTGTCTGGTTATGAATCATAACTTAACAAGTTTGTCCATAACTTATCTGATTATGAACCATAACTTGACAAATTATGACCTATTAATTTCTATAACTAAAAGTTGACCTATATACTTTTTAAACTTTTCATATTGACCTATTTTCTACTATTTTTGTTATTTATTTAGATGTTAGAAGGCTTTTATTTTTCAATCCTTCATATAGAATAGACGCCCTTCTTTCTTTTTTTTTTTTTCTTCTTTCCTACATATTTTCTGTGATTTTTTTTTTCAAAGAAATTATTTTTTAAAAGAAAATTAATTGAATTTATTTAGACATGCAACCCAGAGGAAAATAAAAAAAAAATACTAAATATTGATAAAGTGGGACAATTTAGAATTTTCATAGAGTAAATTCGATAAATCCCATATGTATTAGAATTAGTTATGTGATAAATTTGGGATTTACGTAATAAATCTTGAAGTAGATTTATCTTCTAAACTCTGTAATTCCTACTTCAACATCTGTCTTTGCCTGCTTAAATGTGGCGAGCAAATACTTAAACGTGTCTCATTGGTTGCTCAAAGAAGCGTCTTGTCATGTGGCTTTTAAATATGGACTTTATTATACACGTGTCTTTTATGTTTTAAAAAGTGCTTAGGTAACCACTACAGTTCCGTTCACTTCACCGATTCGAGTTTATAATTTAAATTTTATTACAATAAAAAGTTATCATAAACAGTCACATCTAACTTTTTTATTACAGTAAAAAACTCTCATATAAAATTACATCTCAACTCAAATTACAAACTCGAATCAACGAAGTGAACAGACCCTACAAAGATAAGAAATTAATCCCGTTCTCTCTCTTTTTCTTTTTTTTTTCTTTTTTTTTTCTTTTTTTTTTCCCGTTTTTCTACCTACAAAGTATCTAAGGATTTAACGTGTGTAAACTATATCAACTCTCTTTTCTCACATATATAGATATGTTATTAATGTTCATCTGTTTTTCTCTTAGCATTTTCTTCTTTGGGGGTTTTTTTTTTTATCCACACTTATTTAAGTAAAATTTAACTAGGTGTCCAAAGTAAAATTTTACTCCACAATGACACTTAACTAGGTGCACTTGAGAATTAAGTGTCCAAAGTCACGCACTCAAGTTCAAAATTTGGTAAAAGTCTGTTAGGTCCTGGGACTAGATCTAACACAACACTTTCATTTTGGTATTCTTCTCAGCAGCTTGTACATACCAAAGATGTTCTTGTACTGCCAAACGTTTGGGATGAAAAATGAGCGGTACATGGGGGGTGAGAGCTCCCGGTCGAGATAAGGAAGTGCTCCGATGACCTAAATTCAACGTGTGAACTTTAGTAACCTCGCGGGAGAAACAAAAACCGAAACAAAAAAACAATGTGAGGTTAGTGGAAGAAGATTGAATCTTACCTCCCATGTTGACGCATCGCTTCCACGATAAGGGTACGGTCGACTAAGATGCAGCTCAACAAGCAGCGTGCAAGCTTCAACGTTTCCGAGCTGCAACCATGAAATGAAGGGTCATTGTGTAATGAAATGGAGATTTTGCAAAACTAGAAACTTGACAAGTGTAGGGCAACTATATTCATTAGTTTGAACTTTAAACCAAAAAAAAAAAGAAACTGATTACATATTGGTCATCTGATGCTTTGTTCTTGTTGTTAAAGTACGGTGGTGCTGCTGCAGTTCCTCCCAGTGTAGAATTAAAAGGGACAGGCAGGAGTCCTCGAAAACCGTCATCGATCCATCTGACTTCTCCGATAAAACCCGGAACGAAAAATGATGATGGGAACCGGTGCCATTCACTTCCAACACAAAGTACAGAACCTGCAAAATAGGGATACAGGTTTCAGATGGGCATGCCTTGTCTAAAACAAGTATACTTATAGTCGTACGATCTCTAACTGATTAGTGTTTGATATTATACATTCATAGAAAACATAAGAAAGAAAGAAAATGTGTAATTCCTTCATACATTCTAAACAACAATGTCGAAATGAATTCCATGCGACTGGTCAAAAGGTCTAAATAGCTGGTCCTTACTTTTTCCTACGTCTTCATGGTGCTCTAAAAGCTTGTAAATCTCCAAAGGAGCAGAATAACCGTTGATCAGAGAGAACGTACGAGCATGGGAAGCACATAAAATGAGGCTAAGAACCACTGGTCTAAGCGTTTTCGCTATCTACAGAGGAAAGAAAGCGTGTGAGAAAAAAATATTCGTCTGGAATAGAGAATAGGAGGTTTAAAGAAATATAGGATATGCTCACCATGACCAACACATAATTTTTAGTGGGATCGTATTTGTCACTGAAAAAATCAGGAAAGCTGTCAATGACAGCTGAAGCAGCAACGCAAATAAGCGGATATATTGGATAAAGGAACCTGCAACAGAAATTACAAATATCAAATCTTAATCCAAGCTCAGATAGGCACTAATTAATATCAAGTCCCCAGTATCTACAGATATTTAGTAGTGTAACCAAAAAGTTGAAATCCTGAGTATCTACAATACTCTTTTTTTTTTTTTTTTTTTTTTTTTGAGGAGAAAAAAGCATCACAGAAATGCAGAGTTCAAACTGGAATGTATCTCGTCAGAAATCATGCTAGATATTTAGGAGAAGAAAAACTTAGCTCATGGTCAGAAAATGAAAATGAATATACACTACTGCTCTTTTCTTGTCAGTACAAGTAAAAATAAATAAATTAATAATAAATGAAACAAGATGAAAAAAGGTACAACTTTATAAAAGAATTCACAGCTATTATACCGTTTCAAAATATTAAACAAATGGTAGAAAAGGATATCATAGATATTAACACAAATATACGCATTAGCTCTTTTGCTTAGATTCCGTTTCCTCTATTTCGGCCTAGAGATTATGGTGAAGAAAAAGAACAAAAACAAAAAACACTTTAAAAGCATTTATTTTTGCTACTTTGGAATAAGGATTTTTTTTTTTTTTTTTTTTTTTTTTTTTTTGGGGGGGGGGGG